AAATCAGTTACTTCACACAGCTTGTATCAAATTAAACCTACAAGTCAGCCACTCCATACAACTTTTATCAAGTTAAACCTACAAATCAGTTACTTCACACAGCTTGTATCAAATTAAACCTACAAGTCAGCCACTCCATACAACTTTTATCAAGTTAAACCTACAAATCAGTTACTTCACACAGCTTGTATCAAATTAAACCTACAAGTCAGCCACTCCACACAACTTTTATCAAGTTAAACCTACAAGTCAGTTATATTATGAAACTCTTAATAAACTCACAAGTCAGCCACTCCACACAACTTTTATCAAATTAAAGATAAAAGTTGTATGGAGTGGCTGACTTGTAGGTTTAATTTGATACAAGCTGTGTGAAGTAACTGACTTGTAGGTTTAACTTGATAAAAGTTGTGTGGAGTGGCTGACTTGTAGGTTTAATTTGATAAAAGCTGTGTGGAGTGGCTGACTTGTAGGTTTAATTTGATAAAAGTTGTGTGGAGTGGCTGACTTGTAGGAAGTTAAACCTACAAATCAGTTACTTCACACAGCTTGTATCCAGTTAAACTTTTAAGTCTGGTATGTTAGAAACATTTTATGGAAAACAATAAACTGCCTTTTCAGCTATTATTAAATATTCTTTAGAAAGACAAAATAAGATACAAATATTTTTTGAAAAGCCATGAGAAGCAACTTCATGGTAATAATAACATTAAAGAAAAAGTCAAAACAATTATATATATTATAGTCAGTTTCTCAAGAATGGAATTATTTACTAAAGTTTTAGGGCATGTATTACATTTTCACATAAATTCCACAAAAAGTAATAATTCGTTCTATTAAAATGTTAACCTTACATTATTACAGAAAGAAGTAGATTCATTCTTTAATAAAAAAATCTGTAAAATTACTTTCCAAGCACATCTGACCTAGATAATTTAAACTCTACATATGATTACATATATTCAAAAATTACAAGTTCAGAATTCAAAACAATTCATTTACTTACAGCCAGTATCTTTGAGAAGCTGGATTGCATTAGACATGATCCGCACACAGCCTAGGAACCCTGCTCCATTCTTTTTATGAATCTTCTTGTGATTCCATACACTAATAGTGACAGAATCCTGCTTTCCAATATATCTTAATGAACAAAAACTTGTTGCATCAGTTTCAACAACAGTACATAACCTACGAGACTTCAAATCCTGATCAAAACGTTAAAAACCAACGATAAAATAGGATTTAGATATCACAACATACCAAATTCTGTGTTTTTTATCACTTCTTTTGCCTAGTTAATTTGGTAAAACATTACAATATTTTATTTTCTAAGCCTCATTTTAGCCTTTTATCATTTTGGAACATCATGCATCCATCAACAACTCTACATACAGTAACTGTTTACTAAGCCTCATTTTAGCTGTTCCTAACATTCAAACATAATATTTTTGTTCTTTTTCTAAACCTAATTTTCATTGTTTCTAACTTTTTGATAATTTAAAGTCCAAGTTACCTCTGTGTAATTCATATGATGTGATTTTTACTAAAATGTTTGTACATATACATACATGTGTAACTTGACAATATGTACACATTCTTTATCTAATTAATGAACCATATACAAATACACATATATTACATAAAGTTAATGAACCATATACAAATACACATATATTACATAAAGTTAATGAACCATATACAAATATACACATATATTACATAAAGTCAATGAACATATACATATATTACATAAAATCAATGAACCATATACAAATATACACATATTACATAAAGTTAATGAACCATATACATATATTACATAAAGTCAATGAACCATATACAAGTATACATATATTAGATAAAGCTTTATGTATTATGTGTATATTTGTATATGGTTCATTAACTTTATGTATTATATGTATATTTGTATATGGTTCATTAACTTTATGTAATATATGTATACTTGTATATGGTTCATTGACTTTATCTAATATATGTATATTTGTATATGGTTCATTGAAAGTATACATATATTACATAAAGTTAACGAACCACACATCGATAAACAAATCTACACATTTTCTGCTATAATAATTTAAAATTTTTTTTATTCAATTACCAGTTTGTACTACCCAATAAAAGTTAGAAAATTAATGTTATCTGAAGTATAACAACAAAGATTTTACAGAACCTTTGAATTATGTTGTGGTGACAGTCACCTGACTAAAACTAAAATGTTTAAGACTTATCTAAGAAGTGACACTACAATATTTATAGCTATTCATTTAACTACATGACAAAGATGTTTAGACAAAAATCTATGACAATGCTTTTAATCTTTGTTTTAAACAATGTTCTTTTATTTGAATAGAGTTGTTTAAACATTTGTTTAACAACAAGTAAAAGCTTGGAATTGTCTATTCTTTCATTGGGGGTGTGTCTGTGAGCCATTCCAAGCTTTTACTTGTTGTTAAACAAATCTATTCAATTATGTACTAGCTGCCCAGTGTCGGCTAACAATACAAAGAATTAAATTGTGGTGAAATGCTACAAGTTCTTCAAATACCTATATAATGATAAGTTTCTTTTTTGTGAGTGTAAAACACTTAAATACACCATTTCAATGTTCTTTTAGCATACTGATAAAGTTGACTAGCCATTGACTTCAGATACTTATCAAACTGATTAGCCATTGTCTTAATATAACAACTAGGATAACTGGACAGTAATTTAACAAACCAGCCAGGACGATTAAGAAGTGAGTTAACAAACCAGCCAAGATAAGAAACTTATTTAATAAGCTAATCAAGTTATCCAGACACTGACTTAGTAAAACAGCCCAGAAGATTATGCAATAACTGAACAAATCAATCAAAATGGCTGCAGGTTTATTTAATAAGCTAGTGAAAACAACTAGATTTAATTCTAAATGAAAAACTTTATTAAAGAATAATGTACTATACTAATACATCAGTAATAGTTTTCTTCCCAAGAATAATAAACTTACAAGTTGAAATAACCGTTATAAATTACAGTTGCATGCTCTATATTAAGCACATATTATTTTTATGATCAATAATATTCTCCACTACAGGCCTAAAAATTCAGTATTTTAAAATCATAAATATCATGAATCCAACAAAAATACTAATGCAAATATCTTAACTACTTAAACCCAAGCAGACACTATAAGCATCTGGCAGAAAATCCTGATTTACCCATCGAGAGGTGATAGCATCTGATAACATTTGTGTCTCTTTGGCTGAAAACTAATCCAAACCATGTTATTATCCATCTTTTATAAACAGACTGGAAAATTTTATAATGTATGGTGATAATTATTAGGACATCATAACAATAATTCTGGCAGAATGCTCAAACAATTATGGGTTCAAAGATTTAACATTCAATAATAAATAATAGCCAATACAAGTTTAACATAACAGCAAATGTACAACATTACACTGCAGTTTACCTTTTGTCCCTGAAACCAGGTCAAGGATAATCCAAACTTGGATAAAACAAGCCATTAAACACAAAATTCCTGTCAATGTCAAATTCTCTCAAAAACCTGGCCCTAAATTAAAATAATTACTAAACAAAAGTTAT